CGCAGTAGCTCATTTAATAAATATAGTCAGGTACTGTTCAACGCCATGTTTTTCTCTTCAAAAGTGTAGCTCCTATAACTGTTTCACGTATTTAATTTCATTATTTGTATTTATTATGATTTTTTTAAGTCATCTACTTACTTTATACCTTGCTTCTATCACTGTAAATAATTATCTATGGAAACTTTTAATTAGCCTTCGGCATACATGCACTGATCTGTCAGACGTGTAATACGAGTACCTATATAAATTACCATTCTATTCTTGTTACCTAGCTTTAAGTTTTCCAGAAATAATAAAAATAAAAAAAGTGTTTCGTACTCTGTTATCTCGATAGCTTCTCGTACCAAAAGTGATATGTAGTGACGTTCGACATCAACAGTTCTTGGGGGCTATGCCATATGCTATGCTCGATCCAGTGGCTAATGTCATTTTGTGTAAGATGTTGTGCTATAGCTGACTTCTGTGCATCATTGTTGTTTTACTGCTCGTGTTCCTTCATGCGGTCGACAATTTTGTCCGTTTGGTCTGGCCAATAAACGAACTCCCACAACTGCAGTTCAATTTGTAGACACCCGGTGTTTGAAAAGAAAGGTGGTGTTTTGGCGAACGAAACAGCTTTGTTATTTTGTTTAAGGGTAATTTAATACAGTGGTAAGAAACCTGTAATTAGTGATAATCATTTAGTAAATAATTAATAAATTTGTATTAATAATTATAACAAACTAGTGGAGTAATTTCACAAAAAATAATTGAAAATCGTGGTGATGAAACATTCTAATGTTCAACATTAACATTCAATAAAAATTTTATTACAAGTGAATAGCGACATCTCAAGCCAGGGCTGGCAGCTCTAAAGGTATCTAACTAGGTGACGAAACACTTTCATAAATTTCTCATGGATAGGCTTAAAAGTCGTTGAAAACCAAATACAAAGATTCGACAACAAGCACATAGAAAAATTCGTGAGGTGGGCTGGTTCGTTCCGTGGCTTGGTTGGCATAGCGTCTACCACGGTTTGCTAGGAGACGTCAGTTCGAATCCGGCCGGATCGAAGGAATTTTTTCTAAGATCGCGATCTTTGTATTAATAATTATAACAAACTAAGAAAGCATCTTACGTGGAAACTGTAAACCCGCTCGCTCGAGATTATAATTCTAAATAATTAGCACATTGTATTGTTTATACTGAATAGGAACAAAATAGCGAACTGCAGTCAGTTATAGCCAGTAAAACTATAATATCAATAAGCCATGAATATTAAAATAACCGCCTCAAGTCTCGGTTATCACCGATTTCATTGAAACGAATCGCTATCGATGCTGTCGTATCGATAGGGCAATAAGGTTTTATCTTGTAACATGACGTAGGTGAATGCGTGCGTGTACAGTACTGATAAAAAGCTTTGCGGTATAGAATATTGGTACGTATTAGTATGGTCCCTTGTGAGTGCATCATATACGTAATGGACTAACCATGGAAGAAAAAACAATGGATGTGCCTTAAGTCTCGATTACTATCAGAACGGATGTCGTCAAAACTCTCAAATCGTATGTTCAACACTGTGAAATCTTGATAATGATAAATTTTATAATGATAAAAATTCTAATTTAAAAAGACGTGACAAATTTTAAACTCTGTGAAGAAATAGATTTCTCATAGATGGCGCTAGGGCAAAAAGTCGTTAAAATGAATAACAAAGATCTGCAACAATCACATAGAAAATTTCATAAGTTCCGCTAGTTCGTTCCGTCTGGTATGCTGGAAGGATCGAAGGAAATGTTTCTTAGTGGTCGATCTTTGTATTAATTAAATCATAAAAAACTAGAGGAGTAATTTCACAAAAAAATTGAATACCACGATTGTCAAATACCGTGACATTCAATAAACTTAAAAAATTATAAATTCTGGACTGTTAACATAATTTAAACTTTACCTTGTTGGCATATTGTTGAAAGTTCAGTACCTGCGGTCAATAGCTGAATGACAACGAATTCGAGATGTTCACTTAGGTACCAAAAAAAAAAGCGACCATTCTGCAGTGGTATAAGATTTACTTTCGTTTCTTGCAAAATTTATTACGATAAACAGAAATATGAAAATTCATAAAAATTAAATAAAATAAGACTTAACGATTACATGAAACTACTATAGATAACATTACAGGCGCAACTATCGTTTTGCACGCCTTAGTAGCTGTAAAGCTCCTTGTGAAAGAGTTTGGCCAGGGAACTGCTTTCACCTTACCTATTTCAGCGGCCAAGCAGTAATGTTACCATTTACTGTGTTCCAGTTTTGAAGGGTAGGGGCGCTGGTGAAATTACAGGCACATAGGACATCATTCTTGTAATTCCTCGTACAGATATCCAATTGACGGCTGATATTGTCGCGTATTGAATACTACCAGCTGAGCTTAGTAGAGCTCTTTGTAAAAGAGTTCGTCCAGAAAAGTACTGCCACCTTACCTATTTCTGCCGCCAAGCAGTAATGTGAGATAAGGGTGCTGGTAAAATTACAGGCACATAGGACTTAAATATAGATAGGATATAAATACGGAATACTAAATTTTATAATTTTCAATTAAATAATTTTCAACTTCACTCGGTTTTTAATTAAATATTACTAAAAAAGTCGTTTAAAGGAACGGATGATTGCGGCAGACTTTGAAGCTCATTCTATGGCAAGAGGGCAGATGTGGCAGTAGTAGATGTATAATATCCCTTCGTTGGAAAAATGCGGCAATCATTCGCTTCACCGACCCGGAAATAACACGTTGCTTTTCACCTACATATAACGTTGTCCTTTTCGTGTAACCATAAGTAAATCAATACCAATACATACTTTGCTGTAAACTATGTATATAGAAATATATCCTTAATACTTGGCCATGATCAATTAAAAGTTTATCTTAAAATTTTCATCATTTGGAGCGAGTCATGTAGTATAAGTAGTGAATAGTCAGAATATTCGCTTGTATTCGTAAAACAAGAACGATTCCGAAGGTAGGAGTTTAGAAAATGTATCTAATTAAATAGACACAAAAGTTTAATCATGAAGATAATAGCAGTATAGTTCCTTGTGAAAGAGTTGGTCAAGAAAGTATTGCCACCTATTTCTGCCGCCAAGCAGTAATGTCAGCATTATTGCATTCCGGTTTTGAAGGGCCTTATCCTTCGAAACCGGAATGTGCTGGTGAAATTACAGGCACATGGGACTTGTCAACTTATGTCTCAGGGTGACGAGTGCAGTGACAGTACGCCTCATATCTTTGCGATTTAAAGCTCTGAGTGGCACTGCAACTGGACAGGCGTGTCGCTTACCATCAGGCGTGTCGCTTACCATCAGGCGCACGACTTGTTCATCCCGTCACTTATACGTATAATATAAAGCTCTGTAAAAACGTGTAACGATCTATAATCTAGTAAGCACCTACTTAGTTCTTTATTTTATTTTAAATTGATGTTTTTTCTTGAAAAATCGATGTGTCGGGTAAGGATCATATGTATCAATATGACAGACATGCGCCAAGACAGCGCCGGTCTTAGTAGGTAGTTACTACAATATACGGGTTAGGACTTTCAGTCTCGCTCGATACCCGTGTCCCAGGAAGCTTGCTTAATAAAATAATGCGATTTGTCCTCTCACTGTATATTATTAAAACAGAAAAGATGTCACGTATTTCTTTGACAGGCTTATTCCACAAAGGTTACAAACTTTTCGTATTGGACAAACCGAAGATGAAAGGGCTGCGGCGGTGGTTTTGCGATAAGTTCTCGAGTTGGAGAGCGGATTACGTTTACGACGAGAGCTTTTCCGGATTCGCGACGCAAGTCATACGGGATCAGGGATTTACATGTTATAAATTGCCTAATAGGTTTCTATTTTAAGAAATAAAAAGACTGCTGAGCAAAGACGTGTCCTCATGTATAATGCGTCGAAACAATCGATCGCTCAATGTGTTTAAAATATCTTGATATTTGAAAAAAAAAAAACCTTACCTCGAACAATATGAGATATTTATATAAATATATTATCAGCAGCAGTAGAGCTCCTTGTAAAAGAGTTCATAGAAGGAAGTACCGCCACTTTTCTATTTCTACTACCAAGTAGTAGTGTAACCGTTTGAAGGGTACGGACGAAATTACAGGCACATGGGACTTGTCAATTTATGTCTCAGGGTGTCGGGCGCAGTGGCAGTGCCCCTCAGATCTTTGTAATATAAAGCTCTGAGTGATATTACAACTGTTATGGACAGGCGTGTCGCTTACCATCAGGCGCACGACTTGTTCATCCCGTCACTTAGTATAATAAAAAGCTCTGTAAAAACGTGTAACGATCTATAATCTAGTAAGCACCTACTTAGTTCTTTATTTTATTTTAAATTGATGTTTTTTCTTGAAAAATCGATGCGTCGGGTAAGGATCATACGTATCAAACATGACAGACATGCGCCAAGACAGCGCCGGTCTTAGTAGGTAGTTACTACAATATACGGGTTAGGACTTTCAGTCTCGCTCGATACCCGTGTCCCGGGAAGCTTGCTTAATAAAATAATGCGATTTTTTCTTTTTCATTTTTGTGAAACTGTAAGAAACACATGGCGTTTATTACAGTTTCAGATAGAAAAGACCTGATTTTGTTATTACCGTATTTCAGCTCCACAGATTATACTAAGTTCTACTCTATAGTATTTCCATGTGCATGTATATAACAAGGACAAATAATACAGAAAACAGTGTATAACTGTCAGTTTATTAGATTTTTAATACTTTTTATCTAAGTTAAGTGTCGATACTTGTAATTGACTTTATGTTTATTTTGTTGCTTTTATTCAATGTAAGAAGATGTTGATTTTCCATGAATAAATAAAAAAATATTCCCGAGATTGAAAACATAAGTCTCGAGTCTTGGAATTGCCAAAAAATTGTGGGATTTCGCGAAACTAAATTTTTGGGATGAAATGATTGATGATTATTATTTGATAAAGATACTTGACTCACCTGCTACCTTGGAGTGGTAGGCGACGCCAACGCCGCACACGCCGTTGTCCCGTGCCGCCGCCACCTCTCCCGCGCATCTCGTGCCGTGACTGCCGGAATTTAAAACATTTCTTTAAATTCACACATACCGTGAGGTAATTTTACTTTGTAACTTTTATTCTCAGGATAGCAAAAATAAATTTGATACACAATTTTACTGCTTTTCAAGAATTAACTCAAACCAACTTCTTTATTTGTTGTTATCAACTTCTTTATTAATACAAAGATCGAACAACAAGAAAAAATATTTCAACCTTGACTTGAACCTGCGTCTGTGTCAAACCAAAACCACCGCTCTACCAACTGAGCTACAGATCGAGTCAGCAGACCTTACGAATTTCTCACGTGTTTGTTACAGATTTTTATATTGGGTTTTTTGTTTTTGTTGCAAAAAATGACCCGGTTTGGCACAGACGCAGGATGTTTTCTTTGTGTTTGATGTTTGTATTAAATAAACATAACAAACTAGTGGGCTAATTTCCCAAAAAATTAAACGAATATCACAATGATTATCATGATATTAAATAAAAATCAATATTCTTTAACTTTTTTGCTTATTAGTATTAGCTCATTCTTCTGAATTTTATTAGACGTACAAGGATAACGGTGTAATGCACCGAACTTTCCATTGATGGAAATAATCTCGTGGCAGAATTGGGCAGCCATTCGATCCATTTGATTTGCGCTCCAGGAATACCCCAGTTATTTTAACCATGTTCCTAATGAATCAGGTATTTTTGACATAAGCCGCTACTCTCGAAAGCGATTCATCGACGGCATACACTATAACGCTTGCCATTCATGATGAAAAGATTTGCCAATAGACGTAAGGTACCGCTCGCTTCTTGTACGTGTCATCTGGGTGCGCCAGATGACACGTACAAGAAGGGAATGGTATGCCGTGTGGTCAGACTCCTTTCGTACACCCCATTTTTTCATTTACTGAAGCAAAGGAGATCCGTTTCTAAATCAGGCCCTTATACATATCGCTGCCTTTATTCAATAACGCAGTATTACTGAATACTACGATTTTGAACTAACATTACAGCCAGCGGTGAACAGAGCAAGCGAAATTTTATCGTTAATAAAATTCCTACGTTGTTAAGTTAAAAAAGATTTAAGATGGGTGCCTTATTCGAAATCGTAGAATTCAGCAATACTGCGTTAATGAATAAAGGCAGCGATATGTATAAGGCTGAGTTATGAGCTGGCTTCATTTGCTTGCTGTAAATGAAATTAAAACACTCAGAAATTCAGAATGCAACAGCTGTTTTTTGTGTCGAATAGGTTTTAAAATTTGCTATGGAATGGTGTTTTAAATTTTTATTGAATTGATATTCAATTATTTTTTGTGAAATTGCTCCACTAGTTTGTTATAATTATTAATACAAAGATCGAACACTCAGAAAAAAATTCTTCGAAACGGCCGGATTCGAACCGACGTCTTACAGCTTACCGTGCCAGATGCTATACCAATTAAGCCACGGAACGAACCAGCGCACCTCACGAATTTTTCTATGTGCTTGCGTCGTGTCTTTGTATTTGGTTTTTTAACGACTTTTTAGTCGTTGTGCCATCTATGAGAAATCTATGAAAGATTTATCACCCAGTTAGTACCTTTACAGCTACCAGTCCTGGCGAGAGGTGTCGCTATTCGCTGTATTTTAAATTTTTATTGAAATGATATTCAATTATTTTTATGTGAAATTACTACTACTACTACACTACTTTGTTATAATTATTAATACAAAGATCGAACACTCATAGCATTACGCTTAAGCGTGAAACACACAGAGAGCGGGTGCATCGCGCCCGCGCTCGATGTGTTGTCGTCCAAGTAAATACACGGTATTAGACCCGCCGCGGACCCGACCCGACACACGCTCAACCCGCACCCGCTCTCTGTGTGTTTCGAGCTTTAACATTGTACACGCCAACAGTTAATTTAGTGGCTTATTCGTTTGTTATAATTATTAATACAAAAATCGAACACTCAGAAAAAAATCCTTCGATCCAGCCGGATTCGAACAGACGTCTTCTAGCTTACCGTGCCAGACGCTATACCAAATAAGCCAAGGAATGAACCAGCGGATTGGAATGACTTTTTTAGTAATTTGAGATACAATAAATACCATTTGATATAATTACAAGTGTTTGTGTGTTAATAAAAGCTGAATGAGTATTCCAAAGTATTCTTTAACCTTCTCAAACATCCGTTTTAACCTTTGATACATTTTAAACATTCACAAATATAATACCTAATCTAAATTTTAAGCAAAATATGGTAAAGGAACTCTTTGTTTACCCAATTTCCTCTTCATAGACTAAATAACAACGAAACAAAAGTGATTACGCAAGATAAATTGCAGTGGAAATTACTTTCCTTCGTGTAACAATCCTAATACACAGAGACCGTCATTTATCTTTTGATATCAAACTTCAATTGAACCTACAAAGTTTTAATTCAAATTTAAATTGGACATGATAGTTTCACTTGATACGGGTTCGTTATTCTAATTAAAGTTTTCGGCGTCCTGAACCATTAACATTTATTTGAAAGGATATTGAAACAAATCTTTGATTTATTGTAAATATGTATGTTTCCACTATACACACAAAAAATCAGCACAAAATTGGTGAAACATAGGGTTAACATTTTGGGTCAGGGTAAGCACGCCTGTTAATATCGCAATATACGTATAGTAGTAATATTATACAATGGAAAATGAAAATGAAAAAATTTCAATAATTGAACGGGTCAACTTTAATTTTAAACTCTAATTGTACCATAGTCAAAGGAATATAATTACGATATGAACAAAACAATGGTTACGCTACAATTTGAAAACTTATTAATTCAAAGTCAACGAAAGGCTCCATTTGAACTTTCGTAACGTCCTTGTTTCAAAGTGACGACCACGCCAACAACGACGTGTGTGACAGACGAATTTCGTATTACTCTCGATTGAATAATGACAACCCAAGTCTTTATGTATAATTCTACTACATAGATTCATAGCACATATGTGCAGAATTGAATATGTAAATAATGGCGTGTATCAGCTGGCGATCGTGCCCATGAGGACAAACAGACACATATTTACAGAAATATTTGTTTTCTATAAAAATATTCGCTCATTTTGTACGAGGAATCACAATATTTGCGAACCTTTTTGTTACATGCTGTATATGTATACATATTATGTTTATTATTTTAGGGTTTAACTGAAGAAGCATGAAAGTAAAGTGGATGCTGTAAAAATGAGTGTTTTGCACAGTATGTGTGCTGCAAACGGACAACAGTTTAATAACAAAGCGTGTTATGAATGAAAGTAAAAGATATGTTTGTAATTAAATAAAATGCATTAAAATACTGGCCAGCATAGATCAAAATTTCCATTTAATGGACCCGATTTTATAACAGACAATTTGTTAACTCTAACGCAAAAATATGAGTTTTGTATTCTCCAATATTAAAAAAGAAACGGAACGACAGAAATAAACATAAATTAAAAGTACCTTTTTCTACACTAAAATTAATCAGTAACAGGCCACATCCTATGTAATTTTTAATAAAAACCCAATTAAAAGGAAAAGCAATAAAAATACATTAACATTCATTAAACATTTAAGACAAATTAAAAAAATGCTATTATTATAGAAGAATTTTTTACATAAAAATCCGAGTAAGTATTCGTACACTAAAAGATGTATACTTAAAATACTTAAAATGTTCCTATTACCATGTTTGTTGTTGTTATTATACTTTAGATTATTAAGGCCTAGCATTAGAAACCTAGATTTTAGAAGGCGAGGTGTGGAGGACCACCCCTCGCGTCGCTTTATTTTTAAATGCCGTACAAATTCTTTTTAACCGACTTCAAAAAAAGAAGGACATTCTCAATTCGACTGTATGTTGTTAACTTTTTAGTTAACAATTATACACACATGGTTTTTGTGTAATTGTTAACTTTTTAGTTTAATATGTTATTGAGATTTTTTGTGAAGTAACTCTACAGGTTTTGTTATGATTAATATAAACATCGAAATCATACAAAAATTTTTCGTTTCAGTTTGTATGTATGTACATGTAATCAAAGTTTGAAATCGGTTCTTTTTTTAATAAAAATTATAGAAAATACATTATTCAGGCGATCAACGGCGCTGTTTCGTCGTAAATTTCTTTTGTTTGTTTTTAACCGACTTCAAAAAAAGAGGAGGTTCTCAATTCGACTGTATGTTCTTTTTTGTATGTATGTTACGCGATAACTCCGGTATTTGAGAACCGATTTTCATGATTCTTTTTTTGTTGGAAAGGAGGTACTTCCATAGTGGTCCCATTTCATTTTGAAGACAATCATCCACCTCGAAGGGTGGCTGTTCACGCATGAAGATTCATTTTTATAAATAGCGCCTAAATTTAATTTAGGAGCAATTACTTTAATGGTTGCTTTTGCTATTTCTCCAATTCAAGGCGTTTTTCTCTCGGTATACTTTGAATAGTGAGAACCGATTTTTATTATCTCCAGTGTCAAGTCCTGTATAGTGGCGAACTATATTTCAATAAAACTTAGCAAATAGACGTAATTCCACTTACTTTTGAGGTCGGTTTTTTTAGTAAGTACTCTGTACTGAGATTATTATTGTACTATAAAGTATAATTTGTTTTTTTGATTTACAAACAACAACAAGTAACAAACTTACACTTATGACTTCCGTATGCAAAACAGAACACTAAAGGAATTCATACGCAAATAAAACTTGGTTAAGTGCCATGAGGTAATTCAGTTAACGAATGAATTCACCTGTTGAGTTTTGCAAAGGAAGAAAGCCTTTTGTTTACTTATTTACATACGCAGCCTGTAAATAAGCAGTCAAATGACACTTTAAGCATAAATTTAGGTATTAAGAAATTGGTTAGTTGAGCCAGTCTTTAAATTAAAAGTTGTTAGTAACACCACTAATTACTTGGAAAACAATTTAATAATAATAAGGTAGGTATCAGAAAATAATTCCTATAGAGCTAGCACGACAGGGCGCGACTTACGCAAGAGCGACATAAAGCTATCTCTCGCTCAATTCGCTCCCCGTCGTGCTAGTCCTACAGGTCACAAATTAACGTAGGTATCAGAGTAGAAGACTCCCTAATTCACCCAAATTACAACTTAGATAACTTCGGTTCCTATTTTTTCTGAAATGGAAGTATGAACCTCTACATCTAGCAATAAAGTGTTAACCACAGAATCACCAATGTCGCCATTGTTGTCGTGCATGAAAGGAGCCTCATCGCACGACATACCAATCCTTTCCTGTACACTAGCATGAGACGAGAGCGTTTTCTCGTATAGACATCTCGAGCCTTGTCGCGCTCTCGTATAAGGGCGCGTTCCCACTATGTCGTGACGAAAGGTTGTCGTGCGGTTTGGCTTGTATATTTAAATGAAGTTGTTTCACATATAGCACGACACGATTAACTGTCGTTCACGATTTTTTATCGTTACAACGACAAACTGTCGTCACAGTGGGAACAACTAGAACGACAGTCGTCAGACGATAAAAAAAGTCACGATAAAAACGTGACGACAGATTGTCGCAGCTCCTATTGTCGTCACGATCTAGTGGGAACAGCTAGTCACGACAGTCGTTCAACGATAACAAATCGTCCACGACAGATAGTCGTGATATGAGAACAGGCTAGACACGACCGTCGTCCAACGATAATAAAACGTGACGAAATAGTGGGAACGCGCCCTAAGTCGCGCCCTGTCGCGCTAGCCCTGCTGTACGTCTGCCGCACCCTGCACAATAATCGGCGAATACCTTAGGGCGCATTTATTCGACGGAAAATTTCTGTCATCGCACTCACGCCGCGCGGCTGCCGCGCAGACGCCGCGCAGCGACCGCGTGTATCTAAATGTCTTAACAAAGTACGCTCTATTCATTTAGCTTTTACGTTTTAACTTAAATGAGCGCCCCGGGCGCACGAGAGAGGCTGGCTTATCTGTGGTCCACGCGGCGGCCGCGCGGTTTTATTATTCAGAGGAATTTAAATGTTGTTGCCTAGTAAATAGAATTCAGATGGGCGGTCGCCGCGCGGTGGCCGCGCCCAGTTGGGCGCTTACGCAGATCGACAAATCCTTTCACCACTATGGCAAGCATTATGTGTATGGCATCGATATGATAAGAAAAAAAGTTGTCGAGTAGTAGCTACTTAACACTAGACTTGATGTGTATTAAGTACACAGTCAATAGCTCGTTAGTTTTAACACTCGGATTTCAAATATGAGATCTTATGAAACGAAATATAGTCTTATATAACTTTAAACTAAGTTGGTAACTTTCAAGAAAGGAAGCAATCCTACACTAGTCTTTTAATCCCAGCTCGAGACGCCATGTTGTAGCGGGCTCTGTTTGTTTTGAGGCACACTGTGTAGACAGAGCTCGGGGGCTTTATACGAGAGAGGTCTTAACTAAGACAAAGAGATGAATAATTGATGTATATATAGTGAGAATATTGACGTTACAGCTTCTAATAAATTGTGTGGCAACTGATGATAGATTGTTCAGTCGCTGGGTTGAGTTATAAAAGAATCTTCTCAATTTACAAACATGCCATACGTTATGTAATTGCGGTATACGCTATACGTTTGCACTTGGCATGAGTGTAATTTGAGATCCTTAGGGAAAATACTAGGGTTCAGAACCGGGAACACCCGGTCTCTAAAATATCGGAAATTACCGGTTCTTTTATTGTAATTAGAGAACAGGCAAATCAAAATTAAAAATTAAAAAACGACGATAGATGCGGGCTGTGAAGAAAATGTTAGTATAACTGTGAGAGACGAGGTAACCCTTTTTGAGAATGGAGGAGATTGTGGACGTTATTTCTCTCAGGCAAATGGTCTAAAGATGCCACCGACTAGTGTCTTACTGGAAATAATTTTTTCATTGGCTTGTTTAGTATGTAACAAAATCAGGCTTCATTCAAGTGATAGAAGTGTAGACGCGCTTTTATTTTGAAGGTCTTAATTACAATGAGCAAAAACTCTTAAATATAAATATATAGTAAGTATTCCTAAAACTTAATTTTAAAATGTTATTTGTTGTTTTGTACGCATAGACATTTTTTAAAGTTCTGATAATTTATTTGCGTTAGGAATTTAAGAATTTATTTTGTGATTTTCTATGACCCGTATTAGTTGAATAGTCAAATTTGTTCCTAATAGGTTATATTAGAAAGATTTTACATTATTTTTTGAAAAACGCTTAATATTGGCCGTCAAGTACCGTTACTTCATAATTCATTGTTTGTACACATTGAACGACAATACTAGCTAATACCAGAAGCACTAGAAGAATCGGGAAATCCCTGTTCCGTTGAAGACTACTACCGATATTCCCGGTTTTTAAAGCCATGTCCGGTTCCGGAATCCCTAGAAAAAATATACTCTTACAGTTGGAAGAATCTACCTACCATTTACTCACAATATTTGAAAAAAACTTTCCACAAAGCTTTTTATACTGTTCATAATTGCTTCCGTCATTGTTTGTGTCGGAAATCGACTTTTTAGTGTCGTCAGTTATGAGGAAGTCCACAATCCGGAGGTGTTGGCACATTGCGTTGTTGGCGTCTTTACAAAGGTTCCACTGCCGCATTTGGCAGATTTCGCCTTGCCGGAGAAGTCGCTGTGGACTCGCTGTTTACACCGAGTCGACTGCTGCTTTAGCCAAAATCACCATGTCATTATACGAGTAAATGCAAGTTTACACAGGGAGACACAACAAATCATTCGAAACGTCCAACAAACTGATCGGGTAACACATAGTGGTGGAACTCAGCCGCCGACACTTGAAGGTGAATCAATCGACGTCGGCTGCGAACTACAGTCGTCAAATGACTCAGTGTTTACATTGGATAGATTGCCGTCTTCGGCAGACAAGCGAAGGCGACCTGTCGACCTAGTGTCAACGCGCTAATGCACTGTTTTGCAATGCCACTGCTCATAGCGTATTCTCTCTAGTTACTGCCCTGATCTTATCACTAAGATAATAATACATTTATTTAATCACAATAGAGAGAAATTAAAGTTTTAAAGAAGTATTTTTGTAAAAAATTGATTTTTGTAAGAGTGGTTTGTTGTTGTAACTTTTTATGTGTATTTTTAATATCTTGTTATCTATGTGCGCTTTGGGAAATTGCTAGTGCTAAGTTATGTAAATAAATACTTAAATAGAAATCGCTTTCAAACAACATGGTAATATAGCCTAAACGTAGCTCAGGTAGCTTTGCGAGAGATACTTTTATAAGAGAAACGACGATTATTTCAGCTTAGACTACAGTAATAAGTCCTCAAGTTATAGTACTTTATTTACGTCGAATAAGTATGCTATCATACATTTATTCATGGATTAATCGATAACCATTGCGGTTATCAATTTTATTTTGTGGCATTTTAGACTTTATACCAAAATAGTAGAAACTTTGTATTAAGTAATTTTTGGATAATAGGAACCTTAATAAGTTTAATGCCGCGGATATCTAATCTGTGATAAGATATTGATATCTCGAAAGAAGCCGCAACTACATGGCTGTTTGGTATGGCTATATAAAAAACACTACAGTCACCTGTTGAACCAATCGTCGGTGTACCGAGGGTACGGGTATGGATCGTTGCTACTGAAGTCGTACGATGCCTCCGCGTTCTGAAAACAAAATAACAATTAGTATTGAGTTAAAGTGTACGTTTTATAGAGATACCTTATGACCTACATTGTAAGGGGGTGGGGGAATAAACCATAGATTAAATTTCTAAAAGTGTATGTAAACAAGGATTGGTATTGTTAGCATCAAAACATATGTTTAAGAGGGTTACCCATCAGAAGTCTGAAATGACATTTTCCAGAAATATGGTTTACTCGAACTTTCATAACCTCGAAAGTAATTTTGAGAGGAAAATCTTTTTTCTTTTAAACCTAACTTAACCTAACCTAATCGAACCTAAACGTGTCTTTGCGATAAACATCCAACATATCCTGAAAGAACAACGGTTTCCTTATAATTCGGTTTTCGGGATAATGAAAATTCGAACAAACGTTATTTCGGACAAAATAAATTCGAGTTTGTGATAGGTTACCGTTTAATAGAAACATGGTGAAGATTTTAATAGCGGTGGAGCTCTTTGTGAAAAAGTTCTTCCAGAGAAGTACCTACTGCTCGGCAAGCAGTAGGGAAGTACTGCCACCTTACCTATTTCTGCCGCCAAGCCAATGTGAGCATTATTGTGTTCCGGTTTTAAAGGGTAATGATGGTGATGAAATTGCAGGCACATGGTACTTGTCAACTTATGTCTCAGGGCGACGGATGAAGTGGGATTGCCCCTCAGATCTTTGCGAATTAAAGCTCTGAGTGGCACTGCAACTGTTATGGACAGGCGTGTCGCATACCATGAGGCACACGTCCAGTTTGTCCCATCATTTATTCTCATAAAAAAAAGATAACCGTTCGGCCACGAAAGCAGTTATATTATTATTATTATAAACTAATACCTACAAATGATTAAAAACACAACATAATTTAAATGTTTTCCTTGTCATCTCAGATTACAAAACAATAGGCAGATGGAGCATACGCAACAAACGATGTGACGCCGCTTTTCATTTATTGTTTGCGTGACAACTAGGAAGAACACTGTAGGGACATGCGCATTTGTGTGCGTGTAAGATTGCCAGATGCAGCGAAAAACTCCCGCATTTCTTTCTGTTGCTTTCTATAATACTAATATTACAAACTGAAAATGTACTATTCATTTATTTCAGTGAAATTTCTCCAGTTTGTTATAATTACTAATACAAAGAGCCAACACAAAGAAAAACTCCTCCGATCTGACAAGATTTTTCATGTTATAATCTAGTTTTTCTTTGTAATCTATTCAATTATATTTTTTTACATTGTTCAATATTTTTTTTAATTTTTTTTTTCAATTAGATATGCCATGTGTCATCATCATCATCATCATCATCATCATCATCATGTATCACAATTGCTACAGTATCAAAATTGTTAGGAAAACCGTACATTTCTAACGATAGTACAGTCATATACACAAGATACCTGAACCCCCCAAGCCGACTTTGTCAACCTTTTGGTTCTGAGCACAAATATGGGAAAATTGTTTAACAAACTTAATCTTTAACCTGTGTGCCGTAAAATTAATTTTGGTATGGCTCCCTGGTCGTCTCATAAGTGAATGACATTTTAAGAAAGTTTTTATGCCAATTTGATCTTTAACAAATGGTCCTGACTTAAATATAGAACACATATTGCAACCAACTTTAGTAACGCAGACATAGTCAAACGGTATAAGGATTGCTTTGCAAATTGAGGCAAGCACGGTTTGAGTCACTTTAAAAATAAAATATAAGGAAATGAAACTATTTTTCCGGATTTTTTCAAACAAATATACGCGATTTATTTTATTTTAGTTTTTTGTTTTAATGTAGCTTCATCTTTTTTTATCTTCATTTTATTATTGCGTATATAGGAAATGAAACTATTTTTCCGGATTTAAATCGCGTATATTTGTTTTTTCAAACAAACCGACGTTTCGGGTCCTTTACAGGTCACGGTTGACTGTAGTCAAGACCATGACCATGACCAAAACCATGGGACGTGTAAAGGGCCCGTTTGTTTGAAAAAACAAATATACGCAATTTAAATCCGGAAAAATAGTTTCATTTCCTATGTGTAACAATCGCGAAAACCTAAGAACTCGATATTGTGTATAATTTTGTTGTGGCGTAGTAATAAACGATTTCTATTCTATTCTATTCTATTCTATTACAATCCGGGAAAATAGTTTCATTTCCTATGTGTAACAATTGTGAAAACCTAAGAACTCGATAATAAAATATTATTTAGCTGTATAATATATAATAATTTTTTTTTTTAACGTTTGGATAGGTGTAAGGAATGTCTAAGTCTTGTTCATACCGAACAATAATTTCTTATTTTAATAAGTGGCATATTAAAACAAGAAAGAAAACTTTAAAAGTTACTAAAACCTTGAAAGTAATTAAAACTGAATAGACAAATAGGAACAAAATCTGGAACAATCACAGAAGACACGATCGTATGCAAACTGCAGAGCGATTTCGTGATTTGTTCTATCCATACGCTTTATTAATCTACCCACCCACCTGAGCCAATTTCTAATATACACATTGTGATTTTCAACGTTAAAATTAAAAAGTGAAACAATGCCGTTAAAAATATAACGTTAAAACAAAACAGAGCTCGTGGAATCGAACCACGGGTATTGTAACTGGCAGTAGATACAACAAGCCGCTCGATCAATTTACTTGGAAATTAAATGACGAAATTTAATTTAAGAATTAAATTTTAATTTAAAAATATGTTGATCATCTTCAAGCAACAGTCCAATGTATTGCTTACACAATAAAGTTGAAATTGCTTTAATTTTTTCTTTTTTTCAATACGTAAGACGGCTCTCAGAACCAAAAGGTTGGTTTTGGCATGTTAGGGAGTCAGGTATCTCATGTATATGAGTGTACGTGGACGCGTGATGGGTCCCGTATAAGAAAAATGAGAGTTTCCCTTATTGTATGTATATATTCTGTAGTTTCAACTATTTTTAACAATAGTAATTTCACCGTGACCACGGGACAGGTCCCGTGCAACAAACCAACGTTGCTTTGTTTGAAAAACAAATATACGCAATTTAAATCCGGAAAAATAGTTTCATTTCCTATATGTAACAATTGCGAAAACCTAAGAACTCGAATAGTAACTTTCTCAAAATACAAATGCTAGAGATGTGCGCTTGTGAGGTCACGGTCGTGACAAAATATTACGACCCTCCATCACAAAGAGTCCCATCGCGTCAGAGTGATAGATGACAGCAGCCAGACAACACGACACGTCTAACCTTCGCCTTTACAGATAGACATTATTTTGCTATAGCGCAATATAAAGGAAATATTTCAGTAAAATATGAACGCAGAAGCAGAATGTGAAGCTTTTATAGAACCTTAAAACCGAATTATGGCAGTGGACCAAAAACGTTCCACAAAGAACTTTTTAATAAAATGAACAAATTTGCATAATAAATGACACTTAAATGAATTAGAAATTCTCTCCTAAGAAGATCCGTAGCCAGAAGTAAGACAGATTGGTTGACGCAGTTATCTCTCGCTCCTTGTGAACGTGTTCCTCCGGGAAAGTTCTGCCAACCTTCTTCTTTTGCGAAGCAGTAGTGCTCATATTACTGCGTTGCGGTTTTGAAGGGCGCTGATGAAATTACAGGCACATGGGATTAGTCAACTTATGTAGTAGCAGCTTTCAGCAGCAGTAGAGCTCCTTGTAAAAGAGTCCGTCCAGGGAAGTACTGCCACATTACCTATTTCTGCCGCCAAGCAGTAATGTCAGCATTACTGTATTCCGGTTTTGAAGAGTAAGGTTGCTGGTGAAATTACAGGCACATGGGACTTGTCAACTTATATCTCAGGGTGACGGGCGCAATGGTAGTGCCCCTCAGATCTTTGCAATTTAAAGCTCTGAGTGGCACTGTAACTGTTATGGACAGGCGTGTAGCTTAGCATCAGGCACACAACTTGTTCGTCCCGTCATTTGATGTTACAAAAAAAATTTTAAAAAATGGCTCGGGGTGACGCAGTGCCAGTGCCCCTCAGATCTTTGCGATTTAAAGCTCTAAGTAGCACTGCAACTGTTATGGATAGGCGCGTCGCTTACCACCACCACCAGGCGCACGACTTGTTCGTCCATTCGCTTGGTACCATAAAAATACACATTATATAATTTATAGCTTGTTAAGTTAACAAAATTCTACAGAAAAGCATGCTATGTGAAAGTGTGTTATGTTAAAAGTAATACCTATTACGACACGTACTTAGAGAAAAAAAAACGGGCGTCTATGAATCGTTCCAATAGTTTAAACATTCTTCACCAGACCTTTTAGTACTTTTTACTTTATCCATTTTGCATGAACTCTTACAACGTCCAATAGAGTAAAAACCCTAATTATAGTATTTTTTTTAAATAAAATCTACTGAAAACGCGCTATAACGTGTTTGTCAATAAGCATGCACTACAGATTATCTATAAATTAAATATATCGAGAATAAACTTAAGAACACTAGTTTTTAGAGTATTAATAGACTTTACTAGATGTGTATAGAACAATATTACTAAAACTAATCAGTTGATCTACAGATGAACTTAAAATAAGGACTATAAGAGTAAATCTTATGAGAAATCACACTTAATTAAGTTGTTTGGTATTAAGAAGGTTTTAAAATTTTGACTTGAGTGAAATAAGTCTATAAGACCAATTTCTTTTTTCTAAAACCATTTATAGAGAACTATTATCTAAACCTATACCATAATAAGACTGTTTATAGATATAATAGTTTTGAGGCGTATAAAGTGTGCTTCTTGGGTAATGTAATTAAATTACATATTAATGCAACAAAATTAAGTAAACATTATTTATTAAGATCAAAAAACAATTGGAATGTAAATTGGCGTTTCTTAATTTCATTTTTTCTTTGTTTTTTTTTACTCGTTCCAAACAAAGTGACCTTTAACCGACAATCCTTTCTAAGCAGTGTTTGTAGTATAGAAAAAAATTAAATTAGTATCAAATAATAAAACGAACAAGAATGAA